AAAAATGCGAATGGTCATTTTCTAAAGAGTAAAGCTGAGTTATCATTTTTATACAACTTGAAACCACCGATATATATGTACGTATGTATGTATGTATGTACAAACAGCTTGCATATGGGTCCATTCATATCAAATCGATCATTGGTTGGAATCGACCACTATTATCTGGGACCAATTTTTGTCAAAACTTTCCTTTTATCATTAACAAAGGAATACATTATTTGCGAAAGTTTAAAATTTCACAATTACCTGGATTTTACAAGTTTATTTTTTGAATATGTCAAAAACTATTTGATCTACATGAATGGATCTGGCCTCGTTTTGATTCGAAAAGTAAAAAAAATTACAGAATTTTGAAATAAAAAAAAATCCTAAAAGCAAAAACTTATTTTTTATAGCACCTTTAACAGATCTCAAAAGACACTAAAGTTTTAAAGAAGTGTTTTTTTCTATTGAGTTTTTGATTAAAATCTTTAACAATCTCTTAAATTTAAATATTCTGTAATATTTTTTTTTTAATTTGCTATAAATTTTTTATGGCCCTAAATATTAGATTTCAATCGAGATCAAAATCATTTATCTATCTATAATAGCTTTTGAAATATTTAATAAATAAACTTGCAAAATACCGAAAATTGTTATATTTAAAAATTCGAAAAAATGTATTTTTCTTTTCCTTTAATAAAAGAAAACGAAAGATGAAAATTCATTTAAATCAAAAGTGGTAGATTGCAACTATTTGGGCGATTTGCCATGGATTAACCCATAAACCTTTACATTTCTGGTATTTATGTATTTACATATACATAGAGTATTTACATTGAACATTTACATTTACATAGATAAATTAACAATTTGTGGTATTTTTATTAATAGTTTAAGCTATAATTATTAAAATAAATTTTAAATAATTTCTAAATGAAAAATTTCTATGAAAATATTATTTTATGAAACATTTTAACTCATATTATTTCTAATGAAAAATACTTTACTAATATTTAATGTCTGTTTTTGGTAAAATTTTGAACTTAAAATATTTTTGGGTTATCGGGCTTGAGGTTAATCGCTTCAAATTAAAAAAAAAGTAAATATTGATATTTAATATACAGTAACGAACAGAGAATTTTTCTTAATGTATGCAAAGTTTTTTATTCTGGTTTCTTTTCGCTAATTTTTAATAAAAATATACATAGCTTATACTACAACAAAAAATATAAAACACGAAATCTCTAATCTTTGTGCAAAGCTCAGGAAACTTCAATAAATCTACATACTAATTTGCAACTTTCAAATCAGATTTTTTAGAAAAAATTAATTTTAGCTTAAAATAGTGCAAGCTTAAAGTGTCTAAAAAATCACGTTAATTTTTGGCGATTGCAAATTTATTAAATTTTCCTGAGTTTTCCACAAATTCTAGATTCTTTTTTGTTGTATGAATAAAAAACTTTGCATACATTCCGAAAAATTCTCTGTGCCAATACTTTTGTTCGTCACTGTATGTTAGTATGTCTCTTTTCTAAAGGCTTTACAAACAAATTTATGTATATTTCTATCTCTTTTTGGTATAATTAATTTTAAATCTATTTTTTTTTTCTTTTCAAAAGTAACTTCTGATTACATAAAGTTGCATTCATGTAGCTCAAGAGCTTTAGGTAATTACTGATATTTTACTTTTATTTACTTAAACATATATGTATGTATGTACATATATATGTACTATATAGAGATATATGTAATTTCTATTGCATTGTTATGCAAGCAACACATCAAATGCTACTCGAACGTCCCATACCGGTACAAACTCCAGACGTCGTCGTTATATGATGGTTACGCAGAGCTATTTTGTCAAAATTTATTAACGGTGTTGCTCTTGCGTTGGATATCTGTAAGAAAAAAGTGAAAAAATTAAGATATATAATATATATTATATGTAAATGTACACAAATATACTCCTATTTCAAGAAAATGCATATAAGATGAAAATTTAGTTACGAGTATCATCTATGAAGTATGGATGAAGTTTCAATGAATTTAAGTGCAAACCAAATTATGTATGTACATACAAAGTGATATACCTAACTACATATTTTCTGATATCGATGCCCTTCAGAAGGCAATAGTGCATTCAACACTGGCTGTCCGCCCATTAGTTGAATGCTTGGAGCGTAATTCTTCCTCGCACAAAGGGGCACAGTATAGGCCCACTGTGATATCAAATATTTAGATTTACTGATCACTTTCGACTTTAAAAGTCTCTCACAAAACACAAACCACCTCTGCAAGGTCTGGGTGGAAAAATGTATTTTAACTCGGGTAAGAGGCATTGTACATTTTTTTTTCTTCTATGATCTTGCTGCAACGACAATACTTAGTCAAATGTTGCAATGCTATTCTCTAGTTTAATGGCATTTGCCTTGCAAGGTTCCTTATAAGGAAGAACGTTTCTTTTCAAATGATTAAATTTAAAAGCGACGATGTGCAAACTTTTTTAAGATTGACCTTAAATATACCATCTTTTTTAGAGGGATATGAATACTTGTTCCCTTCCTAGCGAATTCGTCAGCTTACTAACTTCCCCCAATATCCTGGTATCAAGTCGCCCATATGTGTTATTTTCTATAAAGCTACCTGGTTCAAAAATCTCTGAACGCCATAGACTTTGCATTATCAGGCTGCACAGTCTACGAATGCTACTGGGAAGGGAGCGGAGGTTGTCTCTAGGCCTACCTTGGATAGGCAGGCAGTCGTAGAAAAGAAGTGAGGCAAGGATCGAGGCAATGGGTCTCAGCTTCGGAGTCTTACCATCGGCAATGCTCCCGATGACGACGATTTGTTGTAACAGGCAAGCAATGTCAATGATATTGGCTACGAGGTAGAGATGCAACTGTTCGGCGAAGCGCCGCGATCTTCCACGTCTGCGGCAGCGGACCAGAGGAAGGAGACTAAAAACTAACTAAGCCGATCTCAGAATGCCAAACATGACTGCAAGATATCGGTTTCGTTTCTTAAGAAGATGGAGAAAAGAGATACAACGTCCCTACGAAGCGGGACGAGGATCTGATAAGGAAGTATAAGAAGGCCGTTACAAAGTTCGAAGCGAAAAACGCATCATCCTCTGGAAGCCCCAAAATGGAGCAAACGGACGAGATCATTACTGCTGCCATAGCTACAAAAGCCGAAACCGCATGCTCCCAGGAAGGTACGATTAAGAGGGAAACGAAAGCACCGAAATCGGCTTTCGATTCCTCCATGGATGTACAGGTAGCCCATATCGATTGTAGAGGCTCGGCTAATGGATTTGATGCTCGCGGTCGACAGAGAGAAAATGGCCTTCGACGGCGCTGGATGGCTAAAGGGACAACTCAAAAAAAAAAAGTTTTTTCAAATAGCGGTCGGCCCACGGCAAAGTTGGGAGTGTTTTCGGCCATGAAAAACAGCTTCTCATAAAAATACAATCGTCGTTTGGAGCCGGCGTAAAACTGTGGGTCCCCCCTTTCTGTGACAACATCAAGGTGCACGCCCAAACACTAACACACTGTGTAACGACCAATCTATTCATTTTATTTTATTATTAATGAAATAGTTCAAATATCTTGTGAAATTTATTTAAATTCGACTTTTCAAACAGGTGGCAACTCTCTTCAAAATATATTCAATCCAAAACCTTCTTAAACCCCTTTCGTTTGACACACATCTTGTGATACACATGTATTTCAATGAATTTATGAATTAATTTGATTTAAACTTTTTAAGTAGATGGAAATCCTCTTCAAAAAACTAAAATATATTCCAAATATTTGTCAGAGCGATCTGTGAACCACATTTTACCTAGAATCGTTTCGTTTGATAATCATACTTTAATTTAACTTGGTATTCTAAACACGTGGCAACCCTTCTAAATATACTTCATATATAAAGCCTTTTAAACCCCATATTGGTGGATACCCGTATTTAAATAATTCATTTAACTTATTAAAGCGTTTAATTTAAATTTTTTAAACCAGTGGAATCCCTATTCAAGATATTTTAAAATTTAAACTTAAAACCTCTTTCGTCTGGCACCCATATCGTGTAACATATATATCTAACACCTAATTCCCTTAGTTAAAATTGAATTTAATTTTTTAAACAGGTGGCAACCATTTAGATGGATACTGTACTAATTGATTTAACTTTTGATTTGAAATAATTTAAATTTAGTGCTCTAAAAGGTGGCTACTCTTTTCGAATAGGTAAATCCAAAGCCGTAGCCGTTTAGTCCGACACCTCACTTTTGAAAATTGCACTAAAGTTGCGGATATGATGGCATTGATTAATAAATAACTTGAATTTAGTTTCTTAACAGAAAAAATAAAACCGGTTTGCACATCTGCAGGCAAAGCCCTTTAAGTTGACACCCCAGTTTTGACAATCACACGAACGGTTCAGATCTGATGTGCGGGACAAAAAGTCCGTTCGCGTGTTATATATACAGATTGTACATATGTATGTATGTATATAAAAGGCCTGGTAGGGCTCTTATAACTAGAACTGAATATTATATGATTATGTAATGTATTTATTGGACAAGCAGTATGTTACACCTAAACTTATTTTTTACCAATTTCCCACCGACATACCTCATCGACATGATGACATAATTTCGTTCTCATCCAGGGCCATTTAATGGTTCGTATAAGTGTATTTCGGAAATCTTCACTAAAAAGGCAATAAATGTAAAAAGTTATGGAGTAATTGGCGAGCTCCATCAAATTAGCTAGCGCGCGAAAGACCTAAAAGAGGAGTAATCAAATTTTGTTAATGATCCAACATAAATAAATACATAGATGTACATAT